GTTCTAGTAGAGCATTAACAAACGTTATCCTCCATTTCGATCATCCATATTTACGTGAAGTCATCCAAGTTTTCCAAACAAAGAAAACCATGAAAAACTCACTGAAACAAACTGATCTTCAGATATTAGCTTTATTCGTACACTAAATACAGCCGGAGACGATGTTTTTTGTTTTCGCACTAATGTGATCACAAGACTGAATCAATGATCAGATGGGTTCTTATCATTCTGGTCGGATGTCAAAGGGTTCTTGAGAAACGGATGCAAAGAATATGTACAAACAATGATCGATCAAGAATCTTGTTTCTGAGGTAAAATCGTGGATGGCATCAAATGTTCAGATAGGACGCTTATTGTGGACTGCTGTCATCTTTTCTGGATCCTATTTCAACATTGGACAAGTTTTCCGTTTTACCCAGCTCAGCTCCCCCTTTATTTATGAGGTCCGTTTCCCTATCGTCACAATTCATTCCAGACACTGTCTCCCCGTTGGAATGCGATCTTTTGCACGTCGTCGCCTCGTCAGTACAATTCGCCCTTTTTCGCTTTTTACTTTTACTATTTTTCATGTAGACCATGTAGAAAAATTCAATGACCTCGATAAAAATAGCAAAGGTCATTCCAATATAGAGTGAACACAGTCCTCCAATTCGACTAACCAACGCATCCAGTGTGAGTACCAGTGTTTCCTTACGAACCACTGTGTCATTTCGTTTTCGTTTGATTAACAAGTACGTGTGTCGATCACTAAAACCGTATTTCCGCGTTATTCCTTTGTGTGTCACATCGGGGGCATTGAACGCCGTGGACAAGTTAGCGGTCTTCAGGTAGACAGTCAGACGGTCCACCGAAGCCTTGGTGAAATTGGGACTAGATGCCATAATTTCTTCCAGAGCATTCGCAGTTTCCTGACTCCAGTACAACTGCCACTGGGTAGCTCTCCAAGTTGTCACAGAAACTCTTTTGTCATATTCCAACGTTTGGCAGCGCCGTAAACATTTCCCCTCCGCTTCAAACTGCTTTCTCAATTTGGCAAACTGCTGAACAACGTGACGGACACATTCCTTCCGGTCAAACAATCCTTGGGCATCCAACTGATTGTTCCTCAGCAGCCGACCACAGTAGGGCAAAGTTGCATTTGGGATAACTATCCTTGGCAGGTAGGCATATACACATGAGCAACGTTCAATTACAATCTGTTGTATCAAACTATCCAGGCAGAGTTCGAATTCATAATCGTATTCCCCGTCTAAATCTCGATATTGATCTTTTGGATCTTGGATGCAGGGCTTTCGAGGTGTCTGCTGGTGCTCCTTGCGAATAACCTCAAAGTTTATCTCGTTCATTCGACCCGGTTCAATTTGAATTCCCAAGCGATCAAGATTGACCAGTTGGCCTGGTTCATGAATGGCTACACGCAAGCCATGTGCCTGTTCAAAGACGTCTTGTAAGAATGCTTGCCTGTATCGAATGTCGTAGTTCTCGGGTGGTCCAAGCCAGACGATCAAGCCTAGTTCTTGGACACGTCTGGAAAGATAGATATTGATGTCTACCGTGTAGCAATTGTAATGATGAGGATGCGAACGTTCTTTAATGTGGATCATTTCATCGTAGCATCCGGGGCCTCCTAGAAGCAATTCTTCACCGGAAAAACGAATTAAACACATATAAATGCTCTGATTCCTCTGATGACCAAGTCGCTTCTGATCAGGCCAGTCCAAGTTCTGGTAATACATTTTAATGGTGTCAAACACTATGGAATAGTGCGCAACCATTTGCAAAAGATGTTCACTGATATTCCCACTATTGTTGTCCACCAATTCTTCGGCCTTCTGTCGCAGAATACGGTTGAATTGCGTGGGTGAGATAACACTTCCTGAGCGCCACAATTCATAGGCTTTTTCGGAAAACGGCTGATGATTACAGAAAGTCACAGAAGGAAATTCTGTCGGTGCATCCATTCGTTCTTCTGTCTCGATATTCACTGAGTAGAGGAGATATTCTTTCACAATTCGCCTGACGGAAACAATCAGAAATACTGTGGTGCAAATTAGAAAACAAATCCATAGAAGTCGTATAAACATGCTTTGTGCTCGGACAATCCGGTTGCAGCCACGGATGGAAATTGATTCCAGAAAGAGCGAAATGTTTTCCGATATTTTCTGCAGCACTTTTCTGCGAGTTCGCCTTGGTTTAGTCCCATTGGTTTTCGGCTCTTCCACTCCGGGTGGCATGAGTAGAGTGACTAAGATGGCGACTGCTAGTGAGATTAGCTGCAACGGAAGGGGGGCATCAAGATGTCAGTTTTTTTTATCAAAAAACAAGAACGTGTTACAAAAGAACTGCTATGACAAACTACGTTTTTCAAGACTTTACTGACTAATAATCCTAAGATCTGTCAAAAGGTACGTGTTTCCGCCGAACTAGTGGAGTTCCAAATTGTTTAGACTAATACGCACTCGGTACAGATGGACGCTAGAAACATGAAATCTTGTGCAACACTAGTTTTTAATCGGCTGAATCAAAGACACTGCTAAATTCCATGAGTTAGACCAAAAACGACTTCGTTCTGACATCTAAGTACTTTAGAATTGCGTGGGGGAGAAAGGCTACTGCATCCACACTGGATCTACGCGTCATTAGAGGAGCTCAGTGAAGGCCTGAAATACAAAGTACTGGACACCGTGACACTCTACACAACACAGAAGCGACCAAACATGGATGGGATCGGATTGACAGGCACTGGGTACCAAAGCTACCGTCGAAAATCTCCATACGGGACTCTACGAAACGATTAAATAACCAAAAAGCAGAATGTATAGTTCTGAAGCATAACAGCTCAGCGTTGAAGGTGACACCCCATTCGGCTTGTTGCCCAGGTTTGGGTGCACTTTTTTTTAGCTGAGAATAAACGTTGCTTGAGTACGACTTGAGCTCTGTGGTGGCCTGTAAGCATCCACTCAACCGCGCACTGGCGATGTCTTCTCGACTTGGGACGAAACGTTTGCAAGCCAATTGCCAGGCTCGGCGAACAGATCAACTGCCATCTGATCCACCACCAGTAAACACACCGGAGCAACCTATATTTCGACAAATTGACATCCAAACAAGAAAAGATGTTGCGTTCTTTTATGGCGAAACAGTCAGTTGATTCCCGCAAGATATCCGGCAATCCAGGTATGCCCTACTTCTGGCTCCGAGCACGCGTGATAGTTCAGCGTTCACTTCTATTACCGGGGTGCAACAGCAGATTCGCCCTGATAGATTGAAGCATCTAACCTTAGTATCTCTGACTTAATCGGGGTATCACATGCTTCGATACTGGCCTTGTCCTCGGCTCTATAGATTTTTCTTTTGTCAGTTGATCGTCTTGACTTCATGTGAGGTAAAGCAGTAACTAAAATGCGCTTACACATTTTCGTCTTTGAAGACGACAAAAGTTGTGATCTCTATTATTTTAACAGATATCACGTCAGACGGTATATTGAGAATACGCGCTTGGGTTCGACGTTTCCGAACAAGGATTATTGCTTAACAGTTTAGCCCAGAGTAGAACGAAGGCGAGACTCTAATGATGTAATGGTCAAGTGGAATTGATGATAAGCTGAGTGCGAGTGGTGGAAAACCTTAAACAAGACTAACTGACCCTTAAATTGTGAAGTTTACCATGCTTTTAATCCCAAGTGCCCTTATGAAGGCTGTTTAAGTGTGCAACACAAAACAGGGAGGTAGACAAAATCTTTGTGACATGTCAAACTTTGTAGAAATTGTTGAAAATGTTCACGATTAGGACAGTATTTGGTGCTTTTTGAAGCACCCAAGGCTCAGAAGTGTCCAGGGGATCGATATACACTAGTTCGACCGGGACGTTCCGGAGAAATGCCTTACCATGCAAGTTCTGCCTTTAAAGTGTTTCTTTCTACAACCTAACTTTTTGGCTAAGCAAACGGACCGAGAACTAAGTAATATATCAATCTCCAGCTGCTTATGATAACAGTGAGCACTAGTCATCTTTGTTCTATCTGAATACATGGCTCAGAGACATGAATACTGGACTGATTTGTTAGGTCTCTCCTTTTGGAGACTAAAAGCAGCCCACCAAACCTTGTCTCTTTCCCCGCGAGTGTTGTTCCCATATTGTCTTTAGGAGGCACTTGTAACATTGAACTAAATGACCCGTTAGCTCTAGGCGGAACAACAAAAAAATAAAATCTGTTTGAAACCGATAAGCACCTTCTTTCTCAAGTTCAGTTCAAAGATGCTGTGAATGTATGTCGACTGGTTCCTTATGTTTGTAAGGCACTACTCATGAAGTTGCTGAAAATTCGTCGACAGCCCACGACCGGTTTCACCCCTCTTGGAGCTCATCAGGTAGGCGCAGTCCCCGAGCTTCCGTCAACCTTATGATTTACTTGAAACCGAGTTGCACGAAATTATTGAATATACACTCGAGAAACGCACATGCGCCTACCTGATGAGCCCCCGGGAGGGCGAAACCGGTCGTGGGCTATCGACGAATTTTCAGCCAGCTTATAAATAGTGCATTACTGATATACATGTATCTCGAACATCATAACGAATGAAACATGAGGCGGCCTGGTGCAGCACACTAAGTTGCCTGGAAACATTACAAAAGAGCGATTCAGCTGGGTTTCAGGGGAGTCTCTCGAAAAACCAAATGAGTTTGCAAATGAGTGTACAGTCGCTACTAACCTTATGTATTTTCCAGGCTGCTTGCGGAATGTACAACCAATCGTTACCAACGGCGACTATGACCCTCAGACGGCATTCCACAAAAACCGCTGCCTAAGAGTCTTTCACCCTGAAAGATGAAAGCTTCGCTCACTAAGGGATCAGGAATCATGCTGAATAAAGAGTATTACTGGTTTAAAGCCTGTAAAATTTATCAAAATGTCAAGGTTTTGAACGACAATTCAAGGTTTGAGTATGGATTATTCTGCGACATTCACGGGAACACTTTAGTCAGAAAGTCATTCGGACAATTATTTGTAGTTTAGCTAGACGAAATGTTCAAAAAATCTTTGAAAATGTTGTGGTTCTTTCGTGGCACAGTGGAGGGGCGCCATAGTTTTCTCGCGTGAGTATTTTTCGTTTTGGTGGGTTTGATTTTGAACTCAATCCCCTTTAATGTCATTCTTCCCAAATTTTTAATACTTTTATAACAGCGTCCAGTTCCGTCCCCCGTCAGCGCAAGGGTTTTTAATTAAAAAACGACCGGTTTTGTGATATGCTAACAAAGTTTCCAAGTGTGACATAAATGTTATGAACAGTCGTGTTCTGTCGGACGCCGATGATCACGTCCGTCCACGCATATATGTAAACACGTAAACATATTCAAGACCTTCCACCTCTTTGGAAATCAGTCGTGGAGAATTCCAAAATAACAGAGTGTGGTTGCTACGAGGGGAGTGATACTACTCATGCCCGCCATTCGGGGTTTATCCGTGAGAGAAAGAAGGCCTTCGCTGCGGAGTTATTTATTAGTAAATGTCAACTGACCGGTTACAGACCATTGGACAGGGGAGCAAAACTCCCATTTGCATCTTATTTACAAAAACTGGACATCCATCTTCTCCTGAACGCGCCTTCTTGAACTTTCCAGGATATTCATTGACCCCAATCATTCATAGCTCAAATCCAAGCAAATGTTACAGAGCGACTCGAATTCCGCAAGAGGCGGACGGCGAAATTCCACGAACAACACATACTACTCGAGGACCTCCCCATCAGTAGTATCACCGTTACACCCGTATGTCTCGGTAGCTGCCTCGACCGCAGCAACTACTGTCATCAAAACCGTGAACTCTATAAATTCGGCTGAGGCTTGTGACAGGAAATACACACGCAGCCTGTTTGGCTACTTTCAGTTAAGGAGCTTTTCTCGCTACTTTATGTCCATGACTACTAAAAAATAGCACCCGGACTGGAATATTTATGTGGTAATTAATGACAAGCGGTCGTAGCATATGGTCACTTCGGCCACGGCAAGCGCTTTGATCCGAACTGGTGTATTTTGGTGAGGTTTTTCCGCATCCCTTACAACTTGCGCTTGAGGTCTACGCATACCCGGAACAGTTGCTTATATTGTGTGTCTCTCTTCGGCTTTGTTTCAGTACATACTTTAAAGAGATTCTGATAAAAAGAACCGACAAGGGTTTTGTTCTGCGGATTTACGCATCGATCGAAGCGTCTCGACCCGGTTGAACCTGGGAAGAACCGGAGTTTTTCGCGCAGTTTGAAACCAATCAAATAAGAATATGTTCAAAAGGTTTCCCAGGAATAATGTAAGTGACTTGTGGGATAACGTGGCCTTACAAATGCTGAAAAGATTAGCTAAATGGACGCTATTTTAAAACCAACCTAAATTTATTCAGTCTAGAAGTATTTTTCTACTTTCGCGATTAACCGTCGTTGGCACTTTGTTTGTAGTAGCCTAAATAGTTGGGAGAAAGACGCTTACCCTTGGAAAGAAGGAACGTGTGTCATCGATTTATTGAATTATATTTTGTTCGGTGCAAATGTTGCGCCTTTAAGAGCATGTTGTCAGTCGTCGGTGAAAAACAAACACGGCTTATGTTTATGTGTGTGTGCGCTGTCACAAGAAATATACTGTCACGTAACAACGTGAAGCATGCACGCATGTGGATAAGTCAGGTAATTAGAAGTTCGACTGCGTTGAAGGCGATCCGTTGGGGAAACGCTTTGCTTTCGAAATCGCGTTGAACCCGGAAGAATCAGAGGATACCATCTAGAACAACTTTCCAGCTCATGTGGTTTTGAAGCAGAGACGATTTCGAATATATCCACTAGCAAAACTTGTTGGTATTAATGAGACACACTCATTTGTGACTTTCTTTTATCGTGTTTTGCTAAAGTACGAATGCGACCTTCAAATGAGTGTGTCATCCGCTTGGTCTTCAAGTACAAAATAAAGTTGATAAAAACTCGTGGACCATACTTGTCCAGCTTAGCTCAAGAAAGGCTAATCCAATAGTGGGGTGACAAAGCCTTTTCAGCGGCTTTATGAATAGTGTATCACGTCAGGAAAATAGTCGAGATGTGAGTACCGCCAGAGATTCCCTTATCAAAATTTACTGTAGAAAATTTAGTGAACTAGGAGAAGAAGGGTGTTTAAGCCTACTTTAAGCACCTTACTTGGACGTCAGAATAAAAACTGATAAAAGTTCGAGAACATTATATCAATGATGTATATCTGAGAGAAAACACGCATGAACAATTCTGTATAATCCCGGAAAACCAAAGTGGCCCCTCCGTCAAGCGTTCCACATAACATTCTATCAAACATCACCAATTCGTGATCCCAAAAAGGGAGGTCCTCATAGATGTTCACTCCCGTGTTTCCAATTAGAAAAAAATCTAGCGTGTTTACCATTGACATCGAACAAGTTTAGTGAAACAAAAATGCTGAGAACTGATGTATCGGTGGATACTACTGATGGGGCGTGCGAGTAATATGTTTTGTCGTAAATTCGTTTCGCGTCTCTTGAATAGTGAGATCTCTTGCGGAATTTGTGGAATCGCTTTGTAACATTGGCTTGCATTTGAGTAACAGTCTATGAATATCCAGGAAAGTTCAGGAGGACGCTTTCAAGGAGAATTTTGATATTCAGTTTCTGTAAACAAGTTGCATATGAGACTTTTGCTTCCCTGTCCAATAGTCTGTAACCGTTCAGTTGGCATTTTCTAATAGACAACTCCGCAGTGAAGGCCTTCTTCCCCTACACTGGTAGGTAAATATGGGAAGTTGCCCGCGGAA